GCACCAGTGACCATCACAATGAGCCTAGAAAAACTGTCAGGTAACTCAAAAGGTAACCAGTGATCTAGTGAGGACAAACACAAATGTCAAAGACGTTTGTGAATAGTTTGAACAAGATTGTTTCAACTTTTACACACTTTGGGGCTTCTGAGAGGCTGCTTTATGTTACAAAACTAGCAAGTTCCAACTCACTGCCCTTTACCATGTTAGAATAGGGTTTCTCAGCCTGGGCACTATTAACATTTTGGGCAAGATAATTCCTCGTTGGGGGATGGGAGGAGGATGTCCTATGCATTGTAAAAGTTTAGAAGTATTCCTGGCCTATACCCACTAGTTTCTAGTAACACACACACACACAGAGTTGTGAGCACCAAAAATGTCTCCAAAGTGCCCCCCTGGTGCAAAAATTGCCCCTGGTTGAGGACAACAGTGGTTAAATACATTCAATACATTACCTAGGTGAAAAGTTTTCATCGGGTGAAAACTTTTGAGCAACGCTAATCTCGCTGAACCCCAGAAGACTGGCTGATCCAAAGACAGAATTCAAAGTAAAGCTGCACACCTTACTTACTTAATTTCATCTAAATGTATTTGCCTTCTTGGGGTCAAAAAAGGCAAGAGGGGAGTAGAGAAGAGGGAGACAGTTCCAAGGTAAACAGAGCAGGTAAATTGACTGCAGTTCCCTTCATTGAGCATGCGCTGCAGAATAAGGGCAGGAGAGCCCCTGCAGAAAGACCACCCTCTGGAGACCCCCCTCCCTCCACAGAGAAGGCTCCCGGGCCCTCTCCTGCCTTTGTCCTCCAGTGGGGTCTCAGGGAGATCCTAATCTCTCCCGGACCTCCCATGCCCCATTTGGGTTTTGGGCTCTTCAGTAATGTTCACCTGTTCCCTGGAGATAAAATTCCCTCTGCTGAACCACCTAGTGTGGCAATATTTGCCCAACTGAATTTCAGTCGATATAGCACATTTATTGGGATCATGTGAAATTTATAAGTTAACGTTGGGAAAATTGACATCTCTGTGATGTTGTTTTTCTATCTAAGAACATTGGGTCAAGTCTTCGTCTGTGTCTTTCCATAAAATTTCAAAGTCTTATTTAGCACTTAGATTTTTTTTTTCGAATTCATTGATTTTCTTCATAAGTGTTCTATCCTTCGTGTGGCTAGTGTAAATGGTGCCACTGCACAGGGTTGCTGTGAGAATCCAATAGGATGATATGTCAAGTGCTTGTCCCTGGCATACAGTAAGTGTCACAGGAGTGCTTGCTATGATTATCATCCTGTTTCTCTCATTGTATCCTCTCTCTGGTTATGGCTTAAATGAGGGTCTTAGTTGTTCTGTCTGTTTCTGCACAATTCCTGTTCAGATGAAGCCCAGGGGCGGTGCAGGGGAGGCAGAATTGGATCTTAGGAGATCATTTTAACAAGAAAGTGTGGCATATCAGTAACAGCCCCATCCTCTAACTAGTTTCAGTCCTCTTATAGATGCCCCTTCTCCACTCATTTCTGCCTCCAGAACTAGAGTTTTCTCTTCACTGGCCCATCTTCTCCTGAAACCAGGGACTATCTGGTGCTAAAATCCAGTCATCAGAAGTGAGGACATAATCATTATTGCCTTGTGTGTTCTATCTGGCTTAGGAAAATGAAGTTTAATATTCTCAGAAGACAAAGTATTCTTGTGGACAAGTCTTACAGTCCAATACAAAATGACTATTTGCTGCTTACTGATCAGAAACAGGCTGACAGTTGCTGTCTGTGTATCAGTAAGCTAGGCTGCCTAACAAATTGCCCCAAAACTCAATAGCTTAAAATAACAATCATTTAATTTTGTTCATGAGGCTACGAGTCAGTGGGATGTTGTGCTGATCGGGTCCTGCCTTGGCTAATCTCAGCTGGCCTCGTTCATGATTCTGTAGTCAGCTAGAGGGTAAGCTGAGACTGGCTGGCCTCCCTCACATGTCTGGCAGTTATTCGCTGTCCACTGGGGCAGTGAATTTGACAGCAGTACGTGTCTCTCACCAACCAGCCGGCTAACCCAGGTTTATTCTCATGGTGCAACAGAGTTCTGAGACAGAGCAGAGTATATAGGACTTCTGGAGATCTGTGCTTGGAACTGACACAGAATCACTTTCCACAACCTTCTGTTGGCCAAAGCAAGATACTGGCCAGCTTGGATTCTAGGGGTAGGAAATAGACCCCTCCTCTTGAAGGGTAGGGCTGCAAAGTCAGATTGCCAAGGGCATGGATACAGGGAATCAGGAAAAATTAGGGTCACAATCAAACTACCACACTCCCTACACCGAGGTGAAAACGCTTTTAGCATTGATTTACTTTTAGCAAAGCTGGCTTCGTCTCCCTGGCAGCCTACGTGCAGACTAGTTCAGGGGAAAGCTTTGCAGATGGTCAGCCTCCCCCTTGGTCCTGATACACATCAGTCTCACTTTCAGAAGGTGCCATTTCTTGACACTGAGCTCAAATCTGAATCTGTTTGAGAGTGTGATCCTCTTCGCCAGCTGCAGGGATGACCTGTTTCCCTCTTTGTCCTGGTTTCTAGAGCAGTTGCTTGTTTGGATGGAGTTTTCCAGTATAGATTTAACAAGACGCTGACGATGGTTCCCAGCTAGTGGTTGAATAAATATTTGTTGACTTATTGACTCAATCAATCACAGGCTAATTAACTCCCAGTCCTGTTAGAAGCAATTGAAAATGTCCCTTCTCACCATCAGGAGGCAGAGAGACCTTGGAGGTAATCCAGTCTTCTCTCTGCCTTCTGGTGCCTCTGCCCTAAAACCACTGAGTAAGGACTGTGGATGCCTGGTGGCCACACAGGAACAGACTTTCTCTGCCAATGACTTCTTTCTGTCTGTCACTCTAGAGGGTCACCGAGCTGCCCTCAGGCAGGCTGCGGAGTGGGAGGAGGTTGCACACCTGTCCCTGGCCTCCCACACTGTGTGGCTGCTCTCCTCTCTGCCCACCCACCCTGCAGGTGAAAACAAAGTAGCCCCCAGACCCACTGCTTCCAGTGCAGAAAGTGGGAAGTGAGAAGCAAAGAGCCAATACTGGGGGGGAAGGTAGAGAGGAGAAGCACCCACAGAAGACAGGGAGAAGGAAAAGAAAAGGTAAAAGCACTAAGAACATGGCTTGACCAGAAGGGCAATGCCAACTACACCTTGCTGTTTATAACTAATTAGCATGTGGTAATAACTATTGGGCGTGTCATTATGTGTTTAAAGTTTTATTTGCTGTATGTTTTACTTGATCATATGTATTAGTAGGCTACCTGTCACTTATAACAGAAAAACTGAAACTGGGTAATTATAAAGAAACGGAATTTATTTCTTACAGTTTTGGAGGCTGGAATGTTCAAGGTCCAGGGGCGCATATGGTTATCACGTTTTTGGTGAGGACTCTCTGCAGAGTCCCAAGGTGGCAGAGGGTATCACATGCCAACAGGGCAGGGGCACGTGTTAACGTGCTCGTTTACTCTCCTGACAAAGCCACCAGAGCCACTCCAGTGATAACTCACCCATCCAATAATCCATCAATCCATTAATCTATGAATGGATTAATCCATTCATGAGGGCACAGCCCTCACGATCCAATCACTTCCCAAAGGCCCCACCTTTCAACACTGCCACATTGCAAATCAAGCTTCCACATGAGCTTGGGAGGGGACAAAAATTCAGACCATAGCATCTTATTAGACTTTCTTCCTACATTTGGAGTTTCCTTGCACAGGTAAAATGTCATATAATAAATACTGTGTTTAAAAGGATTCTAGTAAGATCCAGCTGGATAAAATACATCAACATATATATAATATTGTTGTATATTTTGGGTATAATGTATAATTTATACTTAAAATCTACATATCATGTATGTAAATTTATATATATGACATATGTAACTATATATAAAATAAAAGTAGGTATCTATTATAAATATCTTGTATACCTTATATAACTAAGTATAAATATATATACCTATACTTACATTTTTGCTGAAAAATGTCTGATACATAAAGATACAAAAGAATAAGATAATAACTATTACCTCTAGAGAGATTTTTTTCATTTTCCTTTCCGTATACTTTGACTTTTTTAGTGAGCATGTACTACCACGATAGCTTTTTTATTTTTTTATATTTTTTATTTTTCATCAGCATATTCATTATTACAAATCCAATTTATTCCTTATTCCCCTCATCCAATCTCTCCCATCCCTCTCCCCGTCTCCCCTGTAATAAACATAGATTTGTTCTCTCCTTCTGATAGATTAACTGTCTCTCTGTTGATTTTTTTGCCTAGATGATCAGTCCAGTACTGAGAGAGGTGTGTTCAGGTCCCCCAGTATTACCATATAGCAGATGCTTCTTCTACTACTCTGGAGTGTGCTTTATAGAGAGAAGGGACTCTCCTTGGGTCAGTGCAATCGAGTGTCTGTGTGCCATCTGCACGGTGGCTGTGACTACTTCTATAGAGACTATCCGCTTTTGCAGCAGCAGTGGTAATTGCAGTGGCTGTGGTGGGCTACCCATGTGGAAATGGTGTTTTGGTGTGCTGTCTACCTGGTTGCAGCTGGCTTTGGCTTCCCCCGGCTCCAACCCTCAGGACCCTGGTGGGCCGGGGTGGCAGTGACAGCGTGCCTAGTTGTGGCTGGGTTCAGTTTATAACATTCTCTGGGTTTGGCTTATAACATTTTTAAAAAGTAGTTCATTTGTAAATTTTAAGGAGATTCTTCCAGCTTTTCCTACCTCGTTATCCCTAGCTTAAATTGTAAATTCAGGTGACATTTTATATTGGAACCTTCCTGAAAAAAATACAAACCTTCCCCCTGGTACCCCACCAGAAGGATAGCAGTTTCCAAAGCAGAGAAAAAGTGAATCCAGTCATTTTGTTCAGCTGCTGAAGAAATCCAAATCCTGCCCCTCCCCGGGCCAGGGACCCCACCCTTGCAGCGCCTGGGTTGGAGCTGGTGGCAGCATCTCCTCGCTCTCCCCAGGGCCGCGGGGGCAAAGGCAGCATCTACGTGTGGGCCTCTGGGGATGGTGGCAGCTACGACGACTGCAACTGCGATGGCTACGCCTCGAGCATGTGGACCATCTCCATCAACTCGGCCATCAACGACGGCAGGACCGCCCTCTACGATGAGAGCTGCTCCTCCACCTTGGCCTCCACCTTCAGCAACGGGAGGAAGAGGAACCCCGAGGCAGGCGTGGTGAGTGCGGCCACTCCCTGCCCTGTTCCCTGTGGCCTCGGCCCCTCTGTGATGGGGTGGGCTGCCACGCGGACTGGGCTCCTCTCCCTGACCTCAGAGTTAGCGCAGGTTCTGAGGGGAAGGTCCATTTTCCCCATGCCCATTAGGTTTGTTGTCAAAGTAGAGACCTGCCATATGCAAGTTGGAAGGAAGAACAGCGATGACCCTTTCCAGCTCAGTTTCCATAGATTCTCTCCTTCATCGTTTTGGCTTAAAGTCATGATGAACTCTGGTCTATCAATAAGTTGCCTTGACACATCACTCAAAGGAAAACTAACTGTAAGAACTGGGGCATCACACCACTACCTCATCTGAGCCAAGATCCTATTCAAGGATTACAGTAATTTAAAAAAGCATTCATGGATGGAAGTTTCTGGATCCATAAAACCCCTAACATTGGGCACATGTGTATTTTCTCAGGGAAAGAGTTGTGATTTTCACATTTTAAAACAAATCCATGATTAAAAAAAAAAAAAAAGCAGGGGGAGAGTTTAAGAATTACAGATTTAGGTTACTTATTGCTCTATTCTGAGGTGGAAAAAAAAAAAAAAAAACTTCCTTCCTGGGCAGCTAGGTATAATGGGGAATTTTCCAAGCCCCTTAAAAATATATCATCTATCAAGCAAAATGGATCTTTGGGGATCTTTTCCTGTCTCTGGTTATTTCGCTCGCTTCAGCCTTTCCTCAGACCTCAAACCAGGAATGCAGTGGGTGGTTCATGGTCATGGATGGTTACACCCTGGTTGGCCACCCATCTGCACTGGGGCTTCCCAAGAGAGGAGAACGGAACTCAGAACTCAATCATTGCTTCCTTCTAGTGTTTGGATCGCACATTCCTATCTGGGCTCCCACCTTGGCAAGAAAGCCAGGCTCCTGTGGGAGCTGACATGGGAATGTGGGATCCAAACACTAGCAAGACAGCCAGGCTCCCATGGGAGCCAGGAGAAGCCCTTTGCCTACAAGAGACACAGACCTTAATAGCCTGTCCCTCCCGTGATCCCACCTGGGTTCCCCCTTGGTCTTGGGGAGGATAGAGTCCTCCAGCTCCTCCCAAGCAGAAGGAGGCTTCACCCCCTCTTATGCTACAAACGGTATGGGCAGAAAGAAAGAAGAGCAGGGCAGAAAGGGACGAGTGAGGGAGGCCCCAGTCCCGTCCTGTTTGTGATACTTCCCTCTCCCTAGAGAAGTTCCTCTCCCACCCCAACAGCTTCCTCACGGCGTGACTGTGTCCTGAACCCTTATCTATGACTCTCTTTCCACGTGGACTGGGAAAGGGCTTTGAGTTTTCTCTGAATATTGTAATTTTTTCCAATAGAAAAATTCCTGATACTTTGTTTCTCAAAATAATAGGCTCTCTTGAGGATCCTTCAGAAAGAGGAAGAACTATTCCTGTGGTTTATACATGATCTTAATGAAAAGTCTGTCTCTCACAAACATTGAAAATGAGGTTTTTCTCCTTGTGAAAGTCCCTTGACACTAAGTTTATTAGTCTCCCCTCTAAATAAGAGCTGTGGAGGTGGTCACCCACATAGCAGGTTGTTTTAACTCAGCGTGTCTCAGAATATTCCCATGAATGGTAGATGTAAAGAAATGTTTGTTTTTAATAGCCTGTCCTAGGTAGACTTTGCTGAGCATGTTTATTCTTCCCTCCTTGAGAATACTGCCCTTTCCTGCATGAAGGGAAAAGGAATGTTGATGCAGTGGCAGTGGGCTTTCCAAGAGTCAGTCCCAATGCCACAGAATGCATTGACTGTGTTGGTCATATTAACTTATCACTTTCCACCACATACTGTTTCCTTTTAGGATTCAGGAAATAAATGTCTAGATTAGCCAGAGATATGCTTCTTTGAGCAATTGACTTATCTCGTGGACAGCCTTATTATAACTGATTATGTGCCCCTTTTTGCATGGGCTACTAGGAAGCTCAGATAAAATTCATGTCAAAAGAGATAGGTATATGGATGCTAAGCTTATCCTTAGCTGCATCCCAATCTTCTTTAGAACAAGGTGTAGTTTAAAGAAAATAAATAGATAATCCCCTCCTCCATTTTGTTTGGAGGTTCAAAATTGTGTGATTTATTCATTCACTACTTAATATTTTCCCTTCTAGGCGACCACAGATTTGTATGGCAACTGCACTCTGAGGCATTCTGGGACATCTGCGGCTGCTCCTGAGGCAGCTGGCGTGTTTGCACTGGCTTTAGAGGCTAAGTATGTTTACAGCTCTGGGCCTGGGGTCTGCTCTGCAGGGTGGACTAATACATTTCTCTCCACCCACATACCAGGTGTCCATGGAGGCAAAAGTGAACATGAGAGCTTATGAATAGTCAGGGCCAGTGAACTCTTCTGGGCATTTCTAAATGATCCATCAGCCCTAAATCACACACACACATACACACACACACACACTAAAAAACTACATCCCTAGGAGAACACAGAAATCCAACACCCAACAGCACATATCAGCAACTTACTCAGATACCACATAGAGGCACATAGATATTTCTTTCTTCATGAAATTCACCCCTTTATCCTCTGTATATCCCTTGGCTATTTTACTCCAGTGATAGTCACAATTAGCTATAGAGAGGAATATCAAATTGCCATGCTGGGTGGGTATCTAACAAGCATTTCAGAGCATGTGACAAAAAGGATGCTTCTACTCAAGATTTGTTAATTCATTAGATGAATCCACTTTTTTTTTTTTTTTGTCTTTTTCCGTGTCCGGCAACGGATCGCAACCCTCAGTGTTGCCCCCGTACCAGACCGGGGACCGGCAACGGGATCGCAACCCTCGGCGTTGCTCCCGCGCCTCGCTCAGCCAGTGAGCGGGAACCGGTCTGTATGTGGGATCCGAACCCTTGGGCGGGAGCGCTGCCACGCTTCCCAAGCGGCGCACTGTAGCAGTGCGCCACCGGGCCGGCCCCTAGATGAATCCACTTTTTTTTTTTTTTTGTCTTTTTCCGTGTCCGGCAACGGATCGCAACCCTCAGTGTTGCCCCCGTACCAGACCGGGGACCGGCAACGGGATCGCAACCCTCGGCGTTGCTCCCGCGCCTCGCTCAGCCAGTGAGCGGGAACCGGTCTGTATGTGGGATCCGAACCCTTGGGCGGGAGCGCTGCCACGCTTCCCAAGCGGCGCACTGTAGCAGTGCGCCACCGGGCCGGCCCCTAGATGAATCCACTTTTTAACACTGAGACAAAGTGGGCAGAGTCACACAGTGTAGACCAAGACATAGGCTTTATTGGGAAACCTTCCAAGCTACAGGTGAGAGGAGACCATTCCCTAAGCTCTCACCATACTACAGAGGGGCAACATATTGCTACTGCTGCGCACACCTTGCATTTGAGCATCGGCCCACCTGCTACTCTACCTTCTCTCAGTGAAGCCAGAGGCTTGCCTTATATTCAAGGAATGAACACGAGGGCTGCAGACACCACACACATGATGTGAGTGTAAATGCCAGCTGTGTAGGAAGTTGCCCGAAAATGCAGCCCCCAGCAACTTATGAGAAGTTGGATTCAGGCTCCTGGGGAAGAGAGCTGAGTTCCCCATCCCTGTCAGCAGTTGCTAGGCAACTGCAGCTTCTAGCATCACTCTCCAGGCAGCCTGTTTGTCTGTCTCCACACATGCAGTGCACTTTCTGACTTGCAAAGGAGGCATGAGTTGATTCCTAAAATAGGAAGAGACTCAGAAAGATTATCTAGCTCAACCCTCTGCCTTCCAGGCAAAAAGCCCTAATTATCCTTTTCCAGATAAGACCCCAAATTGAGAGCGTCTCCTCCCTTTGAACCAACTTAAACTTTGATTCTTCTAACAAAAGTCAGGTGGAAAATTTAGGACACCGAGAGCTGGACACTGGCCAAAGCTTAACTATTGAGCCACAGAGTCCCCGCCCTGTTAAGCACAGAAACCAAAACTTACTCACATATGATGTGCATTTCCTGCAGATGAAACCGTGCATCCCGGGACCTGAGGGGGCCCTGGAGTCTGTACCAGCTTTGCTCCCTCCGGCTGCTAGCAGACAGGCAGGGGAGCCTGCTGCCTCCTGCTGAGCCTTGCAGGAACAGGGAGCAGGAGTGCCCCCAAGACAAGAAGGGCTTCTGGTCTCCCTTTCAACCTCAGAGGGCAGGACTTGACTCGCAGTCTCCTGGGATTTTGGCAAGCAAAACCTCACTTGCCCAGGCCCATACATCTACAAAGGGACAACCTAAACAAATCAAAGGGTAGAGTGAGGCTGCTGGATTCCTAGAGGGTTCACGGCTCTGCGTCGATTATTCACCATTCTTCTAGCACACGTTTGGATATCCTTACAGCAAAGAATGCTGTTGCCACTTAGGCACACTTTATTTTGGAGCAATGCTCATAAAGTTAATGCTTTCTGTCACCATAAAGAGGGAATATAATGTCCCTGGAAGTAGGTGGTTCAAGCCCATTGTGGGAGCTAGTCCTAAAATTTTTCAGAACACCAACTGCCTGAGGTTAGAAGCAGACACTGACATGAGATTTTGGTGCAAGTAATTTATTAAGGAAGGGTTCCCAGGAACGACCAGTAAGGGAAGGTTAGAGATGGGGAAGAATCCAAGCAAGGGTGCAATTTCAGGAGAACTTCTGGCCTCATCCTAATCCCGCAGGCACTCTGGAGTGTGAATTATGCCTCAGAGTGTGTCCCACCTCAAGGTAAGGGAGCTGAGCTGTCATACTCTTGTGCTAGTCAGTCATTGGCTAAGAGCCGCCCTGGAGAAGTAAACTCCAAGCCAGCTCCAGTTCTCTGCACCTGTCTCCAAGGTGGCTCGAGTAGCCAGCAGTGAAAACCATTGGTCAGGATGAAATGGCCCCAGGAGAGAGCCCAGAGGGAGGAGGAAAACAAGACCCTCCTCAGAACAGTCCTCACAGTTCATCTCTCTTTTTATCTGGGGATCAGGCAGCAGGGGGTCTCCAGGAACCTGTGTGACCACAGTCAAGGTCCACTAAGAAAACTTTTCCACAGCAGTATGCAGTATGCAATAAGCAAATATCCCATCTCAATGTATGCCCATCAGAACCTTGCAAGAGAGAGAATAAGCCCCGTGCCATGACTCCAGGAGGGAAAAGGGAAACCATTCCTCTCTCCTGACCAGTCACAATTTTTTTGTTTAATTTCATCAAGTGCTTTTCTGTCAAATGCTTGAAAATGCTCACTTGAGTCACAGGGAATATTAATCATATCTCCAAGGGTGACCAATATTAGAGAAATTTTAAAGAATTTCTTTAGTGGGGGGTGACAGCCACTTTCAAATATTTAGGTTTCTCTCACATGACCTGGAGCTTCCTTTGTGGTCCTAGAGGGCTCAGATAGGTTTGAGCGGTAGATATCATAAGGAGGAAAAATTGGGGCTCAAGAGAATCATCTGGAGTCCAGTGGCCCACACATTGAGCTGAAACAATATTTTCAAAACTGACCTTCCAGGGGATGGATTTTTAATGTAAACTTTTTATTGAATTATAGTATATACAGAGAAAAGTACACAAATCATTAGGTGTAGCTCTGTGACTTTTTAACAAAATGAACAGACCCATGCAACCAGCACCCAAATCAAGAGACAGACCATTACCTAAGTACCCTTATGTGCTCTGTTGATGACCATCATGTCTGAGAGACTCCTCCATGTTGTTGTGTGTACTTATAGGTCGTTAGTTCTCATTGTTAAATATCACTCCATTGTATAAATGGATATTTGGATCGTTTTCACTTTAGGGCTATGATGAATGATGTTGCTATGAACATTCTTGTACATGCATTTTGGTGAACATATGGATGCATTTCTGTTGGGTGTATACTAGGGAGTCAAATTGCTGTGTCATGGATATACACGTGCAGCTCTAGTGGATATTGCCAAACAGTTTTCCAAAGTGGGTGTACCCATGACCTTGCCTCGAGCAGTAGGTGAGAGTTGCGGTTGCTCCATGTCCTTGCCAGGGGAATCATCTTGTAGTTTAACTTGCATTTCTCTAGTAACCAGTGAAGTTGAGCACAGTGAGGGAGTTTTGAAAAAGATAGATTCCCAAGCCCTACCCAAGACTCACTGAATGCAAATCCCTAGGGATGGATGACCCAGGAGTCCATCTTTTCAACCCTGTTCCCAGGGAATACTTAAGCAGCCAGCCCGTTGCTGGTCTCTGGACTGGGGTGTGTGGACAAACACTAAGGCAGTGGCTCTGTGAACCTGTGACTCAGGGTGCTGCTGTGCAGAGTGTGGGTATCTGGACCCTACCTCTGATTAGGAGTTAGTGTTAGGTCAAGATTGAATTTGGCTGTGTGAAACAGGAAACCCAAATAACAATAGCTTAACTGAGATGGGAGCCCAGGGCTGGTTTGGGGTGCCACTGTGAAACAGGAAATCCAACGCTTTCTAGCTTTCTTCACTCCACCTTCATGTTCTCTAGATGTGCTGGAGCTCCAGCCATCATGTTTACATTTAAGGCAGGAAAAGTGGAAGGGCAAAGGGCAAAAATGAAGTTCACCAGCTGAGTCAATCCTGTTTAAAGGGTTTTCCAAGAAGCCCCACCCAGTGGCTTCTGCTTTTCTCATTGGCCAGAACTGTCACATGACTACCTCACACTGCAAGGGAAGCTGGGAAATGTCGCTTCATAACTGAGCACTTTGCTGTTCTGAATAAAATTGAGCTTTTATTAATAAGGAAGGAGAAAGGATAGATACGGGGGAAAGACAACTGCTAGCGTCTCTCAGCATCGAAGTGGGCAATCGATCACCTTCTCTAGATCTCTACTGCCTTATCTGCAAAATATAGAAAGTTAGATTATCAATAACTAATAACTAAAAATGACTACCTGGAATATTGTAGCTCTGCTTCATAAATATCATTTCTTTAGAAAAGTTTTTTTTTTAATTGGACATGTGGTGATTTTAAAGTCAAATATGCCTTAAGACATTCATTTACATACTTTTAAATATTGTGACCAATACTTGAGAAATAGTGTCTGTTCTCTTCTAACTTACTTCTATTCCCAATATATTAGATAGATTTATTTTTAATAATAATAAACTGTATTGCGTGCCCAGCACCGTGTGAGGTACTTCACATGATCAACATTTACACCTGCAACAAACCTGTAAGGTCCTATCTCCATTTTAAAGATGGAAAGTCTGGGGCTCAGATTGTGAAGATAACTTGTCCAAGTTCACACAGTTGGATTTAGACCCCGGGGTGCCTGGGTTCCGATGCCGGGGTCCATCCTCAGCCTCACTACTGGACGTCGGAGGGGCACTGCCGCCATCTCGGGAGGGTCTCGCCACTCACTCTGTATGTGGCAGGGGCCACAGTGAATGACTTGGCTCTTCCTCAAACATCATGCACAAAATCAGTCTTCAATTACTTTAAGATGAGATTTTCCGCACCACAGCTACACCAAGGGGTCATATAAACTGAGTTTTCTCTCACAGTTCATAGGAAGTGGGCAAATGGAGAAAATCCATTGTGTGGCTTGGAGAAAATCCCAGCTTGACTTACACATGGGTTATTTTTTTCAGACTGAAAATAATCCAGACCTTTCAAATTATTTTTTAATCATGTCAGAATTTAGAAAATACACTCAGAATTTCAAAGATGAAAGAAAATAAATGGATCTTTTAGCACTTCTAACATCTCTCTCTCTCTCTTTTTTTTTTTTTTAGCAGCTGGCCCGTACAGGAATCGAACCCTGGACCTTGGTGTTATCAGCACCATGCTCTAACCAACTGAGCTAACCGGCCAGCCCCAAACATCCCTTCTTATGTATGAAGAAAATGAGGGGCCGGCCCAGTGGCGCACTGCTACAGTGCGCCGCTTGGGAGCGCAGCGGCGCTCCCGCCAAGGGTTCGGATCCCACATACAGACCAGTTCCCGCTCACTGGCTGAGCGAGGTGCAGGCACAACACCGAGGGTTGCAATCCCGTTGCCGGTCCCGGTCCGGTACAGGCGCGACACTGAGGGTTGCGATCCGTTGCCGGACACGGAAAAAAAAAAAAAAGAAAAAAAAAAAAGAAAATGAGGCCCAGAGAAATAAAACCACTTGCTCAGGTTCACACACCTGACATTGTTCATATAAACATCAGATCCATTAAGTAGAAGGATTAAAATTCTCCTGTTGGCTCATAGAATTTACCAGATGTTAGTAGAAGTCATTCCTTCAATCTTAAAACTGCAGGTCTTTAAAACATTCGGCTTTCAATTCCTCTAAAGATGCATGTGCTCTCTTTAAATTCCCTTTGCTGCCTTGATAATTAGTAGGAAAACGTTAATTTGAAAGTTCCAGGGGAACTTGATGCCATGAACAGAAGTACTCTGAAAGAGAATGGTGAGGGAAAATGCTCACAAATGGAAAAGCTAATCTATTCTGTTAGAAGTCAGGTTCATGATCAGCCACTTCCTAAGAGATTCTTGCTAATCCCCGGACAAGTTTCTCAAATTTCCTGATGACCAGAATCTCTGGAGTGCTTGTTACAAACAGATACCCAAGCCCACCCCAACCACAGAATCAGCATTGGCAGGCTATATATATCAGCACCTGCAAAGCTATATTTTTCACAAGCGTGTCCAGTGCCATCCGGAAAGGTGAGAAGCTCTCCCCTGGACTAGCTTTGCTCACGCTTGGCTGCTTAGTGAAACACCAGATGCTTGACAAGCCCATAGAATCAAAACCTCTGGGACCTGACGTCATTATTTTTTTAACCATCCTCTGATGATTCAAATCTGCATCCAAGGTTGAGAACCACCATTTCAGACTAACGTTCTCAAACTTCAGGAGGATCATCTGGGGAGTTGTCTTAATTGCAAATTCTCAGGACCATAACCTCCAAATGCTGATTCAGGAGAGCTGGGGATCTACATTTGTCACCAGTGCCCAAGTGGTCTGACACAGCAGGCTTGAGGACCACAGTGAGAACCTCTGGCTAGGCAGAGAACACAGGGGCTCCACAGATGGCTCCCTTAGCATAATGAGCTCCCCATCATGACAGCCCTCACTTTTTCAATACTGAGTTGTCTGTCTGTCCCTCTAGGATGTAGGCTGTGGGAGGGCAGGGGCCTCCCTATGACACACCCAGCATTTGCACAGCCTGAATGTGGTCGACACTCAGTAGACATTCATGGAGCACTTCACTGCAGTAGCTTTCACATATTCGTCTAATCTCCCCAACTATAGTGTAAAACATTTGAGAACAGGGAAGAACGTGTCTCGTTACTTGTCCTAAAACCTCCAACAGATACTCTGTCAATTTTTCTTTTATTATTTAATAACTGCTGATATGATAGGACTAAAGCTTTAAAGCAGGTCAATGCAATATCTATTTTAACTATTTTAGTGTATTCTGTCAATTCTAAAATTGTTCAGAAGGGGGAATTAGGAGGGACCCAGTTTTACTTTTCAGACATAAGCAAATGTCTGGCCAAACTGACACAACGCAGTTACATCGGGGTACAGACAAAGCTCTCAAAGCTCTCTGTTTCAGAAGTGAAAGCTTCCTTGTTCTAACTCTCTCTGTCTCTCTCTCTCTCTCTCTCTCTGTCTCTCTCTCTCTCTCTGTCTCTCTCTCTCTCTCTCATGAACCCCATGAGAATAAGTCTGTGGAGAAACATTTGAGGGAGTCCCTCTGTAGGCACTTGGAAGACAGTACATTTTCCTGGCAAAGATGAGAAATGCCACACCTGCTAGCCAACCCTCGGGTCATTTAGATCCTCGCTTGTCAACACTTCCGGAATTGATAAATTCAGAATCCCATTCCAGCAAAACATCAAGCTTTTAGCCATAATCAGCTTGAGGAGGTTTCATACCATTTTCTCAGGGTCTGGGGAACCATATGTCCAAGATTTGTTCTGAATCTTCTCAAAGATACATTGACCTTTCCTGGAACTTTCTCCTTAAAAGAGAAGATCTGCATTTTAAGAGTTTAAGGATCATTAGAACCCTTTGGCTCTTCAAGGCTTCAAACCAATGAAATTTGCATGTGTTGAGATTTTATCAAATAAGTTATGTTGTTCCTAGTCTTTTGAATTGTTTCATTTCTGAAGAGAACTGTAGTGCAGGGTTTTGCCAGGACTCTCAGCAAGAAATGCATTTTGCCCTGTAGACCAGCATGCACGTGGCACGCACACACACGCACACGCACACACACACACACAAGTTTTCATGAAAAGATAGTTTCCCATACTACATGCAATGCATACTGTTATTTTTTATTTCTATTCCACTTATTTTTTTTAATGATAGTCCCATTCATTAAAATACTGGTTCTCAACCTTGGCTGTCTATTGGAATGACCTGAGAAATCTTAACAATTTCCAACATCTGAGTCTCACTCCCAGAGAGTCTTAATTAATTGGCCTGGGATGTGGCCTGAGCCACACAAGAAGATTTTAATGTGCAGCCCAGATAGCTAATCTGTGCGATAAGTTGATTTCTTGGCCCAAAAATGAGTCATGCTTGTAGTTTGAAAAACACAAACACTGAGAAATAATGGACACTAATTTTCAAAGATAGTAACATTTGCAAGCAGAGTGTTTTATTCACTGAACAGTGTGCCAGGGACTGCACTGGGCATACAAATATGCTGAAGATACTGTCTCTGCCCTTGAAGAACTGACAACCTCATTTTCAAAAATAGAACACACCATGTAGCCAGCACCCAGATCAGGAAGCAGAGTGCAGCCAGCACCCAGCAGCCCCCTTCTGTCCCTTCCATTACTACCTTCCAAGACTAACCACTAACCAGACTTCTAAGAGCACAGGTTAGTTTTTTTTTATACTTTGAACAAATGGAATCATAAAGTATGTTCTCTTTTCTGTCTGGCTTCTTTAGGTCAACATTTGTATTTGTGAGATTTATCCGTGTTATTTGGAGTAGCTATAGTTCATTCATTCTCATTGCTGTAGGGTATCCCACATTTTATGAGTTATACCCCAGTTGGTTTTTTTATTCCATTGGATGGGCATTTGAAGACTTTGAAGTTTGGGTTTATGAGCATTCCAGTATGAATGCCTGGTGAATATATACATATGTTTGCCTAGGTACATACCTAGGAATGGAATTTCTAGGCCATAGCTTAGGCATATGGACAACCTTAAAAGGCACAGCTGAACAGTTTTCCAAAGTCGTTGTAACAATTTACACACCCATCAGCAAAGTGTATGAGTTCCAGTTGCTCCACATCTTTGTCAGCTCTTGATATAGTCAGTCTCTTTCATTTTAGCCATTCCAGTGTGGTTAGAATGCTCTTTTGAGGGGCTGAGCAGGGAGCTCAGTTGATTAGAGTATGGTGCTAGTAACACCAAGGTCCAGAGTTCAATCCTTGTACCAGCCAGCCTCCAAAATAATAATAACAATAATAATAATAAAAATGCTCTTTTGAAATTAATTTAAGGAAAGCAAGAAAGTTTTTTTAATTGACATATATAAAGTTCTAAATAGAGAATGGACACACTCCCTTGAATTGGAGGTTCACAGATGTTCCAGAATCTTACAAGGGGTCTATGTCTGGGTGCTATTTATCCTCATCATTGTGTCTCTCCCCTCTCTCGCCCTGCCTTTCCCACCCCCCTCACACTCTCTGCCTCCCGTATCCAGCCTGGCTCTGACCTGGCGAGACATGCAGCATCTGACCGTGCTCACCTCCAAGAGGAACCAGCTTCACGACGAGGTCCATCAGTGGCGGCGGAATGGGGTCGGCCTGGAATTTAATCACCTCTTTGGCTACGGGGTCCTTGATGCAGGCGCCATGGTGAAAATGGCTAAAGACTGGAAAACTGTGCCTGAGAGATTCCACTGTGTAGGAGGCTCCGTGCAGGACCCTGAGTAAGTGGGGGCAGCGGTTCTTTTGCTGCATGGGGAACATACCCCAGAGACGGCACCATGGCATTGTAACAATCTCAGATTCCCTCTCTGTGTCAGGGGCATGCGCTGGATTTGATTTGGGGACAACCAGCTTCTAGGCAGAGCTATAGGGCTGCGTAACTCTAGGGAGCACCGCTTACATAGAACACAATTTTGTAACTTAGAATCCCTGCTTTTAAGTGTGAGCCTTAACGGATTCAGTGACTTACACCATAATTTTTAAGTGCACAAATCAACCAGCGTAACCCAGATCCATAAACAGAAAATTACAAATATCCCAAGGCCCCCTCTGTCCCCTGCCATCATCATCTCCCCAAAGGTAACCACTATTCCCATTTCTTACTCTATAGATTATTTCTCTATTCTATACTTATGGAATCATACCCTATGTTTTCCTTTATATCTAGATTCTTTTGCTCTAATTATGTTTGTGAAATCTGACCACATTTAGTGTGTACTTGTAGTTTATTCTCATTGCTAAAGAGTGTTCCGGTGTGTGACTATAACACAATTTATTCATTCTATTTGTGGGACAATGTAAGGACTTGACTTTATTCTGAGTGAGGTGGGTTGCCATTTGGAGGAATCTGAGCAAGGAATTTTCCCCACAGATATCAGTGGGCTGGTCAGTTGTAACTACTTCCCTTCCATCTTCCCCATCATGGCAAAAGGATTGGACAATAAGGATGCCTCTTTATTTAATTTCTCTCTTTCCTCACTGGTCCATCAGTAAGATGGAGATAGCAATTATTATCATTCTCATACGTGAGGCATTACTTACATACTATGAAATGCACAGAACTTAAGTGTGTTACAGGCATGCACCTCGTAACGATGTTTTGGTCAATGAAGGATCACATATACAAAGGTGATTCCATAAGATTACAATGGAACTGAAAATTCCTATCGCCTAGTGATGTCACAGCCATCATAATGTCGTAGCCTGGTGCATTACTGAGGTGGGAGCACCAGGCTGTACCATACGGCCTAGGTGTGTAGTAGGCATTACCACCTAGGTTTGGGTAAGTACACTCTATGATGTTTGCACAGTGACAAAATTGCCGAACGATGCATTTCTCAGAACAAATCCCCTTCATTAAGTGACACATGACTGTGTTTGCATTTTGAGAAATGTATGCAGCCGGGGAACTACCACCTACCACCCAATCAAGAGATGGAACATTTCTTCAACCCAGAAAGATTCCTTGAGTCCCCTTTCAGTTAGTCTCCACACTCCATAGACAACTATTGCTTATTATTATCTCACCATAGATTAGTTTTACCAGTTCTTGGACTTTAACTAGAATCACATGATATGGGTGCTTTTGTGTCCAGTTTCTTTTACTCAACCTTAGATCTGTGAGATTCATCCAGGTGACTGTGTGTAGTAAAAGCTCATTCATTCTCACTGCTGTGTAGTATTCCACTGTAGAGTCCATCTCCTGACCCCCTTTAATGGCCTCCTGCTCCGGCCCTATTTCTGTCGACCATCTGAGCTTGATCAGAGCCAGCCTCTCTCAGATTTTATTTTCCTCTCTGTTCCCTTTGGTCCCGAATCCTCTGCAGCTTTTGTAGGCAGTTACCCAGACCTGAATTCAAATCTCAACTTCCCCAACTTAGACAATACTTTTGACCTCTCTGACCCTCTAGTTTAGCAATTCCCAGCCTTCATGCCCTGACCCCCTTTGGCAGTACGGTGAAGTCTACGGACCCCTCACTATGATTTTTTTTTAATTCCTTAAAGTACACAGGATTACAAAGGAAGCCAACTATATTGAAAACCAGTTACCAAAATCATTGAAAAAAACTGATTTGTGATGAAATAATATATGTCCTTTTTTTCTCAACATAAGAAGTAAAAAGCTGGGCCAGCCCGGTGGCACACTGCTACAGTGCGCCGCTTGGGAAGCGCGGTGGCGCTCCCGCCGAGGGTTCGGATCCCACATACAGACCGGTTCCCGCTCACTGGCTGAGCGAGGTGCGGGAGCAACACCGAGGGTTGCGATCCCGTTGCCGGTCCCGGTCCGGTATGGGCGCAACACTGAGGGTTGTGATCCATTGCCGGTCACGAAAAAAGACAAAAAGGGAAGAAAAAAAAAAAAAAAAAGTAAAAAGCTCTAGTGGCAAGTCTAAGGGTCATAATCATTTCAGAGCAGTGAGGTGACCAGAGCACCACTGCAAAGATGCACACAGTGACTGTGGCGGGACAGGAGGACCTGCGGGCTCTTCGAGGACAAAATCTGAGGAAGTGCTCACACACTGTCCTTTGTGGTCTGCTTTTGTAATCGAAAGAGAAACTAAGTTTCCATTCCAGCTTAGTGAAAATTAAGATGTAGGGTTTTTCCATATTAGACCCCCTGAATTCTGTCCAAATGAGCCCATACAGAGCCTTCTCTTCTCTCCTTCCTCACCAGCGAAATGGAACTGATGACTCTTTCCTCACCAGGCTGCTGGGAGACCTTAGTGTCACACGAGTGTAATGCTGGCACATAGTAGGCACTTAATAAATGTAACTTGGCTTCTTCCTCTCATCCATGACTTGAAATGCTCTTAGTTCACACCTATGGAAAGCAAGGAAGATAAATAATCTCCTAGAATTCTCGATGAAATGATGTCCTGATTATTACGTGAATTCCAAATTGGGAATCCTCAAAGCCTAAACCATCCTCCCACAGGTGAGCATCAGCCCATGGACTATCATCCCCTCATGGATAAGCATCCTCATAGTTCACTCTCTGACCTCGTAGATAGTGGCACCAAATGCATTATGGCAGAGTTGTGTGTTTTTTCCATGGATCAGCCCATGCTTTTACAAAGCAGCCTCCCTCCAGCACTGCATGGGAAAGCAAACCTTCAGCCCAAGCCCTATAATAATCCAAAAACACAGAGCTGCACACATCCCGAGTGGTGCTATAAATGTCTTATAGCAAAAATAGCTACTCTGGGGAGTGTCTCACAGTTTTCTCAAAGCTGTGTCCATACATTATTTCTGTTCAACCTCCTAGCCCTCCTCTTGGTAAGACAGGCTTCACTGAGGTCCACATGAGGTGACTGACCTGGTCAGGGTCACAGAGGCTGTATGTGTAATTAAAGAAAAGAACTAGTTTTTATGGAGCGTCCACCATGTGCCATGTGCTTTACACACACATAGATTTCTTAGCCACCCTGTTGTTGAGGGTGTCCCTTACACTCACGCAGTCAGGGTGATGAATATCTTACAGCATTAACAACAAACTGGTCCTGTGCCATGTTTCAGGGAGAAGCACCTACTATGTGCCTGGTATATTCCAGGCCTTTCACATACACTATATTTAATCCTTATAAAACAGGGAGGCACATCCTATCAATACTACTTCTTACAGATAAGGGAGCTAAGATGCAGAAAGCATGAGAGATGTGCACAAGGTCACAAAGGGCAGACCAGGACTTGAACAAGGCCCATCTGCATACAAATCCCAGCTCTTTTCATGACACAACATTGACCTTACTCAACTCCGACTGTGTACTCAGGCTTGTGTTAAAGCAGCCCTGCTGTAAGCTCAGCAGGGTCATTAGAGATGAGGGAAAGAGACTAGGAAAGGCTGAGGGCACACCAAACGTCACCCAGCAGCTGAGTGGCCGGACTGGGCTTTGAGCCCAGCAATTCTGACTCCAGAGCCCACCCCTATGGATAAGTTCTCAAGTATCTCAGTGATTCTCTGCTGAAGGAGGTGAGGCCTGGGGGACTTTTCCCAATAGATACTCCCCCGGGGACTCTGAAAGGCCCAGCTAGTGGTGGTCGCCCCTCCCAAATTTCATAACTGCCTTTCCAGAGGCCCTGTCACTGTCAGGATCTGCAATGTCCTTTGGGAGAGACTGAACAGAGAAACAAGACTGGGAACCCCTGTCCAAATGAGGGACTGAAGGCTAAACCTACTTGCCATGCTAACTTTACCCAAAGTCAGCATTAAGTGGGTATTGATGATTCTGTTTCCCTTGTTAGAGTTCAGAATAATTTCTTGTGAAATTTGGAAGGGCTGGGAGACTTTCTGCAGCGGTGATAATGTTCTGTATCTGCACTGTCCAAGACAATAGCTCATGCCTATTGAGCATTAGAAATGGGACCAGTGTGACTGAGGAACTAAAGTTTCCATTTGATTTAATTCTAATTAATTTAAATTTAAATGGCCACATATGACTGGTGGCTACCATCTTGGACAGCTCGGCTCTAAGGCACATCTAGTAAATACACCTTAGCAGGAGGGATGCTGAATAGTGCAAACAGAATGGGAAGTAGAAATTTAATAACATCAGCTCCAGGAAGGGGCGTCAAGAGGTTGGGACTGCAAGAAAGCCCGGCTGGTCCACTCCAGCCTAGGCCTTCCCCAGTACCCCTGGTGCCTGGGCTCACATTTCACTGCCAACACAGACAGCACCCCAGAAGCCTGAGGGTGGCCCTGGGAGAATACTACCGAGAACCTCTAGTAAGAAATTCTCTCACGCACCTGCGGGACCAGCACTCCACTTCCACCATCTCTTTTAATCACAGGAGTTGGCATCACTAGCCTCAATTTACAGGTGAGAAAACAGGCTCAGAAAGATCCAGTAAATGGCCCTAGTTCACAGAAACAGCAACTCCAATGTGCATCCAGTCTGCAAGGCCCTGGGGCCTGGAACCTCCTTTCCTTATTGCAAAGAGGGAAAGATTTACAAGGTCTGCACCTTTGCAAACATTCCACCAGCAGCGGGCAGGCGCCAAAACATCCCTTGGGGGCAATGTGACTGGAGCAAAATTCGCGTTTAGTTGCCTGTCGGCTACATGCACAACTAATGAAAAGTTGGCACTGTTGCAATATTTAGGGGAACAGTTAGCTTGGAATATACTGGGGGCCTCTTAGTCAAGGTACGTGTTGCTATCAGACCTTATTTTCTGAGATGCACTGGACAAAGCAGGACAGACCTCTAACAACTTTCCGGTACTG